CATTGGACTGTGTGGTGGTAGTTAGGAGCATGGGCTTTGGAGAAAGGCAGATTTTGTTCCAAGTGACATCTCTGCCCCTTGTTAGCTTGTGGGTCTGGACATGACCTTTATCCTGTCTAGGCCCCAGGATCGTGTGGATAATGCCTGCGTGGAGGGTTTGTTTATGAGAATTAAATGAGTTAACTTGTATGAAAGCTGACATAAACAATGCCAGCCACTGAACTCGGCTCACTGCAAAATAAAAATGTGGGAAACCTTGTTGAAAGGGCAAGAAAAGAAAAATGTTGTTAAAACACACAGAGATATAAAGCTTTGTTCTTTAGAAATATTTTCTTCCATACAAAATGTAATAGGAATAACAATTATACAGGAATATCATACGCTTACAAATCACAAAAAAATGTTTTCAATGTCATATTTTTAGTAAAATAAATAAAGATAACTGACAAATGGGATTTCTTGATTGAGCGTGTAATTTTTCTGGCTGAATTTTCTGCAAAATCATCTTATATCAGCAAAATTTATATTTTATGCAACTTCCTTATTTATTTTGAGAAGCATCTTCTGATACAACTCTTACTGAAGTTGAATGCTTTGTAAACTATGAGAACATCGGGATAAATTACTTTGAAATGTAAATTGGGGTACTTTCAGAGGTGGTGATTCTTTTTTTCTATATTTAAATATTTTATTGAAGTCTATACAGATCGTGATTCTTGTGAGATAATTTTTATAAAAAGATTTAATTCTATGCAGAAATCAGTTTGGGGTAAGTTTGAATTTAATTTTAAATGTAAACCTATACAATGGAATTTTGATGTTTCTTCTGACATTTCCTGTAACTCTTGGAGGCCCACAAAAACACTGAAAGTGGCTCCATGATTTCTATATAATTAAGAACTCCGGTTTATGCATTCTATTGCTGTGTCTTCAATAACAAGGAAGAATTAAATCAAAAATTGTCTTCCTTGTGGATCATTGATTCATCTGAAGTTTCATGAAAAGAGTGCTCTTCTCTATTGAATGTGACTATCTTCATAGGATTGAATTCTATTTCTAAGACTGAAAAATCCTAATAGGGCCTTCACAAATGCACAGAGATCTCTACTGGGAAAAAATTTACTGAAAAAAATGCAATTTTCCAAAGGAAATTAAATGATTAACACACAAAGATATCGCACCACTTGATAGTTGCAGCATTATTCACAGTACCAAAGATATTGAAATAAAATGGAGGGATGAATGGATAAGAAGTTGTGGTATATATACACAATGGAGTACTACTCAGAAATCAATAAGAAGGAAATCTCACCATTTTCAACAACGTGGATGGACCTTGAGTGCATAAATTTAAGTCAAATAAATCAGAGAGAGAATAACAAATACCATATGATCTCACTTATACGTGGAGAGTAAAACAAAAACAAAAATCAGAAACTGAACTCGTAGATACAGAGAACACATTGATAGTTGTGCGAGTGGTGGGAGGTGGGAGAAATAGTTGAAGAGAGTCAAAAGGTACAAACATCCAGTTATGAAATAAATAATTCAGTGGGATGTAATGGAGAGCATGGAGACTGTAGTTAACAATTCTGAATTGTATATTTGAAATTTTCTAAGCGAGTAGGTCTTAAAACTTCTCATCCCAAGAAAACAATTGTAACTGTGTGGTGATGGATGTTAACTAGAATTATTGTGGTGATCACTTTACAACATATACTGATAACGAATCATTATGTCATACACCTGAAATGAATAAAATTTTACCTGTCGATTATACCAATAAAAATGCTATTGGTGGTTCTCTGGAGATGGAAAAGCATTGCAGGAAAATTCATTCTTCTGTGGGTGAACTTTTAATTGACAATGCATTACTTTTATAACAATAATTTTAACCAGTGGAAGTCGTGGTTGATATCAAACATAGAAAAAGATGGAAACCACTAACTTACTTCAGCTAACTTCAAATCCTTACCAAAATGTTGTATGTTTTTAAGAATGCTTACTCTAAAGAGACATAACAACCTAACTCGAGGTGTGAATCTAGATCAAAAATGAGGTAGGAATGAAATCAACAAGTATAAAACATGTGCCTGGAACAGTTGGGGAAATGAGAATATTGACAAGATACTAAGTCATGTTAAGGGACTATTGTCATTTGTTTATGTATCTAAATTGTATTGTGACTTATGTGGAAAATTTTCCTTCATCTTAAGAAACGTATGCTGAGATAATCAGGGAGAAGTGTCAAGATATTTTCCTCTTCCTTTGAAAGATGAAAGAAATACAGCACATATACATTAAATGAGTTTAATTTAGGCAGAGCATATATAGTCAGTCCTCTGTATATCAAATGTGGAACCTTGGAGATGGAGGGCCAACTAAGTGACTCAAGCACCCATTGTTTTTGGTATCTGTGGACGGCCCTGGTACCAGTCCCCCATGCATAGCGAGGGATGACTCTTTAGGTGATATTTCACATTCAGGTTTTCCCTATGCTCACTTCCCCTGGAAGAAACAGTTTTAGGGTCAGGATCGATGAACATGCTCCTCGATGCAAGCCTGTTTACCACACAGGGAAACAAAGTCAGGACAAGGAACGTGACCCACTGGTGACTACACCTAGAGCCTTGAATGGGAGCTCCTTTAGAACTTCCTGCAGCATCCTGGCCCAACTCTCCTCTTCACACCCCATCAGAAACTTCCTCTTGTGGAAAGTTCTCACTGGTCTTGCCTACACAATAGCATCACCAGCTGCCTTGGAAAACATCTCTGCCCTGTTGCACACCAGGATCTGGAAAACATGACAATTTAAATGGAGATCAAGTAGACTATGACTAAACTCTACTTCTTTCTCCTGTGTCGTATTGTAACACTTATCAAAACTGACCCCGGATCACAGATTTTTTCCTACAAAGTCTGTAAAATAACTAAGTATATTATCTATAGCTAATTATAATATATATATAAATAGATGTTTGTCTCTCTCAAACTTCATTTAGAGTTAAAGAGAAAGGAACTACAATTAATGCAATTTATATTCCCTCAGAAAAACTCCACCCCCGGGAGCACCAGGCACAGGGCTCTGTCTATTCTCTGTGACCACCATTTGCTTTGCGGGGTCTACGAGGAATTGTGATGGTCCGAGTGACACCAGGAGACCTCACTCAAGCCTGCAGCCCTCTTGGCTCCTTCACAACTGGGGCACGGGGACAACAGGAAAGAGTGTGGAGAACTTGGAGTTCCGCTCAGTACCTTACAAGTTTCAAATGGCATGTTAGACCGTTAACTTTGACAACTCTGAGAAGCAAATAACACCCTGGCTCACAAAGCACAGAAGTTATGTAGCCCTGAATGTTGCCTGAGGTACTGAGTAAAGTGAGGCTACAAATGTTTTCCCCATTTTGTCATTCCCATATTCTCAGGAGCTGCATCTAGTCACAAGTTACTCCTCCCATTCTTTCTCTGATGAAGAGAAACTGAGATCCTTTCCGTCTCTTCATCTGTCACACTGGGATGATGAAAAATTTAGGAGACTTTTCACATGAATGTTACCATCTCATGATATTCTCAGGAGGGTCAGGCTCACCACGTCCATCTTCCCTTAGTGCCCAAAGCCCTCCTTTTGCCGTGAGAAACCATGACTACCTTTAGGGATGCTGGGTTTGAGCAAGACTGTCCCCAGACTCAGGAAAAACAAAGTTGGCATATGGAAAGTTTCACACGGCAGGCAAATGATTGCCAGAAAGTCTGTCCCCACATGGAGACCGGCCTGGCCTCTCACCCCATCCATGCACCACCCCAAGTGAGCAAGACTGGAAGAAGTTTCTGGTCCCAAAGGCAGGAGATGTTTTCATAATTACCAAAGTTGCAGGCAATAGTAGATTCTACATGTAACCTGGAACCTTGATAAGTTGCAAAACTCAGCTTCCTCTCCAGCCTCAGCTTGCTGCTAATCTCGCCAGTCATCAGCACGAGGATCCTGTATCTCCTCCTTGCAGTGCTCTTTCCAGGTAAGGCGGGCCAGGGGAACAGAGGGCTGAACAAATGGAAAAATAGGATGGAATATCTCTCTTTCTCCCCTCTCACTTCTTCTCTCTCTCTCCATCTCTCTCTCGCTCTCCTTCTCTTTTTCATCCTCTCTCCCTCTTTTACTCCTTATCTTTCCCTCTCCATCTCTCTCTTCCTTTTCATCTCTCCTTCTCTCTCCCCCTCTCTCTTTTTCTCCCCCCCTCTCTCCTTCTCTCCCTTATCTCTTTTACACACATTCTTAGATCAAATAGACTGTATAGATGGCTAATGAAAGCCAGGGACCATGTCTTCCACATGGAAGGACATTAACAACTTTACTGCACAGTTCACAACCTTTTCCCAGCCATTCTGAAGGAGTCACATAGCTTTTAATCTCCTCTCCTTGCTGCTCTTCATCCTAAAACTGCTGCATAACCGAGGACGCCTCTGTGAGGTGACATTTTCTTTTTCATAAAAGCAAGAAATTTGACTTTCTCCAAGGACAGAAGTGCAGAATGTCTCTTTATACATCTTCAACTTAAAGGCTGGAGTCTCTGGGTAGTGCAGAATCGCAGAGAATAACAAAGCTCAGACTGCACTTTGGGCTCTGCCCTTGGGGAGCACCCTGTGCCTCTGTTTTTGCAGCTCTGAGGTCTTAGAGCACACACCCCTGAGAGCCCTATTTTTGGTTCACAGCTGCAAAATCGACCATCCAAAGCAGTTTTTAAAATTGGAGGACTAACTGTTATTTTATCTTTGGCAGTATGGAAATAGAGTAGAAGGGATGGAGGGAGGAAGGGGAGAGGAAAGGAGAGATGGAGAGAGGGATGGAGAGATGGAGAAAATGTGAAGCTGGCACCTGAGCTAGGTGTTAATTAGAAATTATATTGAAAAACTCTTATTTTATCAATTCTGTTTACAACTGTATTGCAACACTTAAAACAGTAGTAGGGAGGGAGAGGAGGAGGAGGGAAAATTAGTTAGGAAGACAGAAATACAAGGAAGATGAGAAGGCAGAAATGATGGAAGGAAACAATGAGGTGGGAGTTGAAGGATGTGTGAGGTCCAGACCACATCTGAGATAGTTCTCAGATAATAGAAAAGATATTACAAAAGTTTTTTTAACCTCTTTGGTTATCCATTGTCGGTTACTTGGATATTAAGTTCTCTTTAAACAATTCCTGGCATTTAATCTGCATTTTTTCTCCCATCACAGCTGAAATACATAATAGGCTAAAGGACTTGGAAAACATAACAATAAAAATAGACAGAAGCTGGCTGTTTCTGATTCTGAAACCACTGGCCTTTGTGTGAGAACCGACTTAGCACAGCATTGAGGAGATTCTCTCCCGTGGAGGAGCTGACCTTGCACAGAGCCCTGACAAACCCTAGTCACTGGGCCACGGAGCAGAGCTTTCTGGTTCTAGAAATGGGGGGCCCCACTGGAACCTCCCTGGTGCCAGTTTCTGTCTGAAAACTGCACGTCTTACTAGCTGATAGAATAACTGCAACTGTGGGAAGGAACGCTCTGAGGATTTACTCAAGGGGACACTGTGTCTTTCTGTTCCGGTGCTTTGATTTCTGAAACTTTCTTTTTTTCATTTTCTTCTTAGGTTATTCTCAACACATAAGTCCTTTTACACAATGGAATTCTACTCAGACCCGAGAAAGGACGAAATCCAGCCATTTGTGACAACATGGATGGACATTCAGTGTATTACGCAAAGTCAAATAAGTCGGAGGGAGAAGGTCAAATATCATATGATCTCACTCATTAGGTAGTGTATAATAACAACAACAAACAAACACATAGAGACAGAGATTGGATTGGTGGTTTCCAGAGGAGAAGGGGCAAGGGGAGGAGGGTAATAGGGATAATTAGGCACATGGTGCGGTGATGGATTATAATTAGTATTTGGGTGGTGAACATGAGAACATGATGTAATCCATGCAGAAATAGAAGCATAATGATGTACATCTGAAATTTATACAACATTACAAACCAATGTTACCAAAATAAACAAAAAATATATATATATAAAAAGATTGTGTATTTAAGTTGCATTCAATCAATAAATACGTTGACAATAAAAAAAAAAAAAACAGGAAATGCTGTTAGCTGCCATCAGAATGGAGGCATATGCTTTCTCATTGTGTGCCTTCCAGGGAGTAGACTGATTGGCACTTGTGGCTCTCCCTTGTCACGTTGCTGCAGATGAAATTAATAAGTGCCGCATCAGAAACTCCTCTCTTTGTAAATACATGTAAAATTTAAACCAGATTAAACCACTTTATTGAAAGATAAAAAGTCTTGCCTTCTGGTCGTTGTGCTTGTTGTGAGGTGTTTGATCACACAGGCTGATCTCCAAAATCCTTGAGGATTCCATTTAAGCTCCCCATACTGACCATGTTGGCCAACAAATGGGACTATGCTTTGCTCTTCTGGTCACCTGACCTTCCCCAGTTACCGCCTGTGTTGTCTTGTAACATGCTGTTTGCTCTTCCTGCCCTCACCTGCTCCCATCACCCCTCAAACATGGGCCTCATTCATCCAGTCCCCACTGGAACACCACCTCCTTCCTTCAGGAAACCATAACTGATCTGCACAGGAAGCAGCCCCTTCCTCCTCTAGGCTCCCCACTTCCTCACTTCATTTGGTTTGAGCTTCTTACTAAGCCCTGCCTTGGACACATGTTGGTAAACTTCTCATTCTCTGTGGGGCTGTACACACTCTACGGATGTGGACTCTGTGTTATTCATTTCTGCGCTGGCCATCGAGGGGAGACATTGATTCATAAATTACTATCAGATGAATGGGAAATCTGAGTTGAATAAAGCATTTCTCTCCATGTGAACATCATAGGATGCAAGTATGTGCTGCAGAAAAGCAAGTCCTTATGAAAGCAGGGTTGAATGAAGACAGTTATTCATGGAACACGGGGATTGGTGTCTGAAGACTCAAAGAAAGAGAACATAGGCAGCCGGGGATCAATGGAGATGCTGCCTTCACCCTAATGTCTCTTCTTTGATAGGGTTTGGTAGTTAAATCTAGAGTTTGTTTGGTGTAGCCTGTATGTTTAAGTAGCTCTCTGTCTCTCTACATTTACTCTTCACTCAATGTACTTATAATTTACTTCTGGGTAAATGCTCTTTATCTCTAAAATAATCTCTTGGGTTTCCTAGAGACTCCAGATTGAAAGAGTAATCAGACCATGTTTGAATAAAACTATTTTTCGCTAGATAAAGACAACTGAAAATGGGGTCAAGGCTGGGGTGAAAAGAGCAAAGCCCTTGCTGTAGGTGCAAAAATTAAAGCGGCTGCAGTATTCTATAATCAAGATAAGTCACATAATGCAATGTTTTCAAATTAAAATTAAAGCAAAACACTCCATAGTAGACAAATAATCAACATATTAAATATGACAGGAGCTGATCCTATAATTGTCCAAATCCAGTTCACTGGCCTCACCCTAACACCATTACTGTCTTGATTTAATGGCTTACTTTTAAAACTTTAGGGCATTTTTATTTATGATAGATGTGTCACCCTCTTGGTGCCCTGCCCGGAAATATTCATCTTTGATTTTAGAGATGAGATGAAGTTTATCATAGTAAATGCGTTACTGACTGACTTTGTAACAATGTCACTCACTCCTATGTTCTAGTGGATGGACAGTTCATTCAGAGAGAAACTGCTCTTTTATTTAAGATAGTACTTGACTGGCTATTTTGGTGTTGAAAAGAAGGACACCTGTGTTTTCCGTAAAACAGACATGAAAGCAAATAAGAGCTAAGTGGCTCTTCATTTCTAAAAAGAAAAGGACTTTTTCTTTCCCACTTGGAATCAGAGATTGAAAATGAAAGGAGTCTTTCCTTCCAAAAGGAAAATGTGTGTTTATAATATGACAAGATATGGCCTGGAGAGATGAATAACTAAGAATGGATGGAAACCTTTAGCAAGAATGTATTGACCTAAACAAAAAAACAACCAGTTACTTCACCAGCAAAATTGGTTTCCTTGGAAACAATGGAAGAATTGTAATTCAGGATAAGCAAGCTATAACAAAAGCCGTAGGCAAGTCCAAGAAACAAAGGACAAAAATATTATTTTATAGAGAAAAAGAAGGAAGTCAGGAGGGGTTGTTTTGAACAAAAGTCTACTGGTGGAAAGCGACATTTCCGGGTAGTGACAGTTCTCATGGCTGAGTTGCTGGGGAAGCCCATTTCTTTTTGGGGTGCAATGTGCATCTGTTCCTGTTGGGGTCTGTAACTGACAGTTCTTCCTATAATTGAGGTTGAGCAGTAGTGTGTGAAAGCTCCCCATTCTGGACCCCCAACCTCATTTTATTTTCTTTTTTCTTGAGGTCGCATTTGTTTATAACATTACAGAAATTTCAGGTATACATCGTTATATTTCGACTTCTGTATAGACTGCATCGTGTTCACCCCCAAAAGTCTAGTTGTCTTCCCTGATCTTTGTTTTAAGTGAAGATTCTCTTGTTCTGTTTCACAAGTGCATTCTGATTTCCAATTTTATTTTTGATACTTCTGTGTAGTAACCTTGTATCATTACCTTCAAATTATGACAAAATCCTGTTTCACTAAATGTCATGTGATTGTGAAATCTTGAGAAATTGGGAAGAGAATCAGTCATACATCGTCCAAAGTCACAAAGCAAGAGGGTAGTTGCCACAGGAAGTGAGGTGGGATTGGACAGAGAAGCTTTGGAGAAGCTAGAAGTAGGCTTTAGGACAAAATATTGTGAGCATAAGCAGCATCTGGCAATCTTGAGAAACAGTTGAATATTTGTCTGAATTTCTAAGGCATGGGAGCTGGAGTTGTTTAATTTGGACATAACGAAAATGGGATAAGCTCAGAATTTGGGACATTGCCATACAGCTTTCCACCCAAGTCAACTTGCATCTTACTCTAAGGCTTTAAACCTGCTAACTTGAGACTTAAATGAAGAAAATCACACCTATCCTATTGTGCTGAAGTATCGTGATGAATAAAAAAGAAGAAAGATCTTAAACCCTGCCACTAGTTCCTTATGTTTATTGGCTTCATCTGCCTAACTCCAGCCAACTTAACACATGACCTTTATTCCAACTATATCTAAAGCAGATGAGGAGAATTTTTGGGGGGAACAGTGTTCTTCTCTGATAAGAGGTTTTCTTTGTCTATATCCTGTTTGTGTTTTGCACAGCCTTTTGTATACATGGACTAAAATCTTCCATTGGTTTTAGATCATATCCAGCCATTATCCTTTCAAGAATTCCTGCTGTCTGCCTTCTCTCTCTTTTCCACTTACGAATAGAATTGCATATACATTACACCACTCACTGTGCTCTCACATGTATTTTAGGCTAATATTTGGATTTCCCATTATATTACCTTTGTATGCTTTGCTCTGGAAATTTTCCATTGACCTGTATTGTAATCCTGAGATCTCCAGTTGCTTTAGCCAATCTCTTGTAAAATTCATTCATTGTGATTTTTCCTTCAGATATTAAGTTCTAGAATTACCATTTGATATTTTTTAATTCCTCAAGAGGACCTGTTCAAAAATGAATATTGTCAGCTATTTTATAGATCTCCCAGCTCTCTTGACAATATGGACTTTTCATCCGAACATATGCCCCTTAATGAGTCTAAGATTTAGTATTAGATTATTTAAAGAGAAAAATTTCAAGGGAAGCACTTGATCAAAGAAAGACAATGACGAACCACTGAAGAAATACTGAAAATTCTAACTATAGGGCAATTTGGATGGTGACGCATCAAAAAAACTTAGCGGTTCTTTTAGTAGTGACCTGTGATGTCACGTAAATGTTCTTTTTACTTTTTCTCTCACAGATGGTCAACTTAGAATAAATGTGTATCTCTTTTTACTTATGCTCAGTCACCAGGGTTGACAGATTTAGCAAGAATAGAGCACACCCAGTCACATGTGAATTTCTGATAAACAATCGCTAACATTTAGGCATAATATATCCTGTAGAATAGTTGGGACATACCTATTCTAAAAGATTATTCATGGTTGAAGTGAAATGTAGATTTCATTAGACATCCTCTATTAGCTCTGACAATCCTGTAAGTCATTGAAATGTTTCTCCTTAAGGACTATGCCCACACCAAAGTATTTATATATTACACAATTGAATTTTATTTTCACTATGAGTGGTTGGCACAATACTGGTGCCTGAAACGTGTCTATCTCCTCATCCCTAGAACTTTTGAATAAGTTATCTAACATGGTGCCATGGAATCAATGTTTATACCGCTCCCCATAGGAAAAGAGGTATCCCAGTGTGATGGATGTAGGAGATGGTGCTTTTGGGAAGTGATTAGGTCATGAGGGTGGAGCCCTCATGAATAAGATTAGTACCATCTGAAAACAACCCTAGAAGCTAGTTTGTCTCTGCTGTGATGTGGTTACACTGAGAAGAGGGAATCAATGATGCAGCAGAATCTTGCAAGGTACCTGACCTGTCAGTGTCTTCATCTTGGAATTCCCAGCATCCAGACCTCCTCAACTGAGCTCAAACTAGGAAGATTACATGGATGGGCCCAAGGTAATCACAAGGAAACTTAAATTGGAAGAGAGAGGCAGAACAGTCAGTGGTAGAGTGATGGGATGTGAGACAGACTCAATCAGCCACTGCTGGCTTTGAAGATGGAGGTAGGGGACAGAAACCAGGGAATATGGGCAGCTTCTAAATTGAAAAGTGAAAAAGAAAGATCCTCCCTTAGATCATCCAGAGGGAACACAGTCCTGGCAAAACGTTGATATTAGCTCAGAGAGACCCATTTTGGACTTTTGACCACAGAACTGCAAGATAATATATGTGTGTTGTGTTAAACCACTAAGATTGTGACAATTTTTTCCGGGAGTAACAGGAAACTACTATCCTAATAGATTAAAATAATGTACTGAGCATAAAATTAGAAGCACAAGACACACAAACTGGCGTTATTTAATGGGAAAAAATGATAAAAACTGTCAACTTTTACTCAACTTTACTTCTGTTTTCAATGAAATGCCCATGCTTCAGGTGTCAACTTTCCCTCTCTTAGTGTGGGCCCAGGGCTCACTATTACAAGAAGGACCCTTTGATTTCAGCTTTGTAGTTTGGATTTACTGTGAACAGGTCCAACCATGAGTGGAGGTAGAGGGCTTGCTGCCTGTCTTCTGTCACTTCACATCTCCAAGAAGTTCCCTACTCTGAAAAAGAGTTCCTCACAGAATTGACGAGTAATAAACTTATACTGTTGAAGGTTTATTCTTACATTTCAAGGTTTATGGCTTTATTAATTGATCTTATATCCCATAAGGGATAACTTAAGTAAAACAAAGCAAGGGACTTCCCGGTGGCATAGCGGTTAAGTGTGCACATTCCGCTGTGGAGGCCCAGGGTTCGGATCCCCAGGTGCTCACTCACGCACCACTTGTCAAGCCATTCTGTGACGGTGTCCAATATAAATTGGAGAAACATAGGCAGGGATGTTATCTCAGGGCCAGTCTTCCTCAGCATAAAAGGAGCAGGATTGGAGATAGATGTTATCTCAGGGCTGATCTTCCTCACAAAAAAATCAAAGCAAACTGCAGTCACACGAAACAGTGAGTGGCGTTCAATGCCTACAAGTGTCACCTGAGTTCTGGACATTAAAGATCATAAAGCATGCATATCCTGTTCTCATGAAGGTACATTCCTAGAATCCTGGAAGGGTAACGGACACTAAGAGGGTGACAATCCATTTTCAGTTACTTCAGCCCAACATTCTCTTTCTCTGAAGACAAGAAATGAGATAGCATCCTAGCTCATCATCTCGATAGAATTTACTTAATAGCAAATTTAAGAGGCTGTTCACATGGATCTTAATATTACATAAAAATTCAGACGTCATGGAGTCATTTACGTCTTGAGGGTAAAACACTATTCTATATTCCCTCAGCACCAAAGCTTAACCCATTCTGTCCTCTCCAAACACTGAGAGTACCTATGGAGATTCTTGGTCTGATCAAGTTCTGATTTATGTCCACGCTCTAATATGCCCTGGGCATAGAATTGAAAACCATTTGGGCCTCATTCTGTCTCCTGTCTCTTAGGAGAAACTAAGAAATCAGAAGCATAAAAGTATCACAATGGGAACAGATTAAACCTAGGCTACATTTTATAACATTTCTACCAAAAGGAGACAAATGCAATCTAGCTCAACCCCATCCGTATACACTACCAGAAGGAGTCCATTTTGGATAAGCTGTCTCTATCTCAGATGGCAGCAGGGTAGCAATTTCTGAGGCATATGCCCAAAGCTCAGTGTTAAATGTTCTGTAAGCAGGTCATGAGAGCCAGGAGGAAAGATGTCACATTTTCATCATTCTATAATTTTACTAGAATTGCAAACATCACTTCTGCAAGTAACCATGGTGCCTTAATCTTTACAAAAGCTTATCAAAAAAACGATCTTGCTCTCATCCTTGGCTATTCCTTTAGTTTGTAAGCATCGGCTATGAAGCTCCATTATCTTTTCTTCACATTGTCATTTTTATTCTGGTTCCTGCTCCAGGTACAATGCATCTGAGAAATAAGAGGCTTGAAATAAATTTGAGGATAAATTGAAGTTTCTTACTCATTCTTTCTCTAGACCAAAGAGATTATTTGAACTTCTCCTTAAAACTAAGCGCCCTCTCTTTAACGTTGAGGGTGCATAAGACGTTAAAGGACTGTTCAGACATTTTTGTTTTCTTGACCTAACATAACAAATGAACTGTTAAAATGCCACTACTAAAAAAAAAAAAAAAAAGCCACTACTTTTTCACTGGAAGAAACTGCAACATCTGTGCTTGAAGCATAAGGCAATTGCCATTCTAAATAGAAATAGAAGAATTGGCACATGTGTTTGGTGATGGGTTGTAATTAGTATTTGGGTGGTGAACATGATGTAATCTATGCAGAAATAGAAGTATAATGATGTACACCTGAAATTTATACAATGTTACTGAAATAAAAAATTAAAAATAAATAAAAAATAAATAAAAAACAAATAGAAGAATTAATTTTATGCCAAGAATAGAAATGCAGGCTATGCTATCATAAGTATATCCTTTTATAACTAAATGAAGGAGTCTTTGGGC